TAACTCTCACCTTGAATATGTTTGCCTTGTAAACGGCAGAAGATTTGAAACTCCAAGCACAATTGTCATCCACACACATAAGGTGATACCTAGGATTAAAGACCATTCAACTTCTAAATACACTTGTATATAAAAACATAACTAGATATATACTAATTTTAATACCTATATACAAATATATACTACTTTATACATATTTATACATATATATAACAGAATATACAACTATTGCCATACCTTGTTGCGCTTGATCTCTTCACCTTGAATTGGAACCTCTCGCGTACAACCAAGTTCTTCATCACACTGACAACTGTCTCTTTATCCTTATAAACTTGATCTTCCTCAACAAATTCGTTCAACATATCATCTATTATACCCATGTTTTCACTAAATTTCGTATTTTCAATAAATTCGATATCAGGCATAATCTCAGTGCTATCAATTGTGGATACATCTATACAATTGGAACTTGTAGCAACCAAACAACTGGAACCCGTACCAACCAAACAACTGGAACTTGTACCAACCAAACGATTATCATAAATCCCTTTCACCGTCACATACAACGGGTATTCAGTAAAATTCAAGTTTTTCTTCTTTAATTCGATATACACCTTAACACGTGTATCGTTGTAAATCAGGATCGATGGCAAACCATCCTTTGGGAGAAAGTTAATCTCCAATGTGTTTAACTCACAATCGATTCTAATCTGTTCCGAAATAGCTGCAACTAAATTGTTGTAGCTGAATGTCGGCTCGATTATTACACAATCGCTGACGAAATTGATAAACTTGTTTTCTTTCCATTCACCACTATGAAGAACGTAAACTGAAAAAAGCTCCATCGAACAAAAAGTTGAAATCAAAATTGCAGCAAAAATGAAAATTGCGCTAATTGCAGCAAAAAAATTTCATTTTTCGTGTTAGATTCGCTGTTAATTCGAGATGAAGAACAATTTCTAGGGTTTTTGGAGTTGCATTGACTGCAAGATCGCATTTTTGTAGATTTGGTAAAGAAGAATGGAAAGAATGAGAGAAAATCCCACTGAAAGATACAAAATCCCGCTTCTGAATCCCAAAAAACGGAAATAACGCCCCTTTTTCGGATATGGGCCTTTTAATTTTGGGCTACTCAATTTTAAATTGAAATATGGGCTATAAAGTTGAAAAGTAGGCAGCCCAGTTATTTTAATATGAAATTTTCCCGCTTATTTTTAGAAGTGCTTTTTTAAAAATTACTTTTGAAGAAAAGCAATTTGTGTTTGGCCAAGCTTTTTAAAAAGTGCTAAGAACATGAAGAGATGTACTTAACAGTTAATATTATATAAGAAAATAAATGATCACAAATATTTATTATTAAGGACAGTAATTAATTTTTTTTATTTTATTTAAGTAAAATATAAAAATAAAATTGAAAAGTACTTTATCAAGATGATTTAAATATATAAAAAATTATGCAACAAATATGAAAGTTCACACCAAAAGTCATTATATATTACTTAATAGTTTAAACTAAGCAAGATTATTTTGGTATATACAATATTTTGCTACGGGTATTTTTCTTTTGAAAAAAAATTCAAACTGCTTCTGCTTCTGGGGAGAAGCTACTTTTTTTTTTGCTTCTCCCCAAAAGTACTCCCCTCCCCTCCTCCTTCCCCCCTCCAAAAAAAAAAGCTTGGTCAAACACCTCAAGTTAAGAAAAAAAGTATTTTTTTGAGAAAAAACACTTATGGCCTTGAAAGAACCTTGGACAAACAGGCTATCAGTCTGGTCCTAAAATATTTGATGTTTTACAAGAAAATACCGGCCTTTTATTTTTTTCAAATTTATCTTTATTGTTCTAGTTAGTGGAGTATTAGTAAAAAATGAATTAGTGCACCGGCCTGCCCTTTTTATGGATCGTATATTGTACATTAATTTAACTGTAGCCAATCTTTACATGGACATATCCGAAGGATAAAATGCATATCTTTTTTCTAGTAGAATAAGAGTCTCCAGACACTTGAACCACGATGGAAGGGGATGGGATGACGAAATATAATTCAGGACGCTGAATCATTTTTTTTTTGCTCATGTACAACGGCGCAAAGCCAGAGTGGCGGAAGAGGATTCATCGTTAAAAATTTATACTATGTATTATAAAGTTAATTTTTTATGTACATATATTACTTGTTGAATCTTTTTTATTTCTTCTTGTGTTTATTTTTTTATTTGTTGAATTTGCTTGGCAAAAATTGTCAACATTGAAGGAATCGACCAGAATTGAAGGTTTGTTAATGGAGGATTAGGGATTTTAGAACTTTCCTGTTAGAGAATGATATACACGGTGAAATGAAAATGAACGGGCTGCTTAATATAGCTGGGCCCTCTTGTATTTATAGTAACTCGGTAACCCGTTCATGTTTTACAAATAATGGCTACAAAACTAAGATTGGCTACCTATTATAAAGAGCAACTAATGCTAAGTGTTATCAGGAGATAAATAATTGGGCCATGTCTTATGCTTTCTGTTTTGGGCTGGATGCTGAGTATTCTAAAAGCCCGACACCTCCCCCCCCCCCCCTTCAAGTTGGAGGGGGAGACCACCTTCAACTTGCCCAAAAAGGACTTATGAGTAGCTCCAAGAAGTGACTTAGTGAATAAGTCTGCAAGCTGATTAAAAGTGGAGACATGGAACAGTTGAATGAGACCTTCAGCCAACTTAGTTCGGATGAAATGACAGTCAACCTCGATGTGTTTAGTGCGTTCATGAAAGACCGGATTCTTGGCAATATGAATAACCGCCACATTATCACAGAATACAGAAATGGGAGAAGAAGATGAGACACCAAGATCAGCCAACATCCTAGATAACCAAGCTAACTCTGCCACGACCTTGCTTAGTGCGTGATATTCAGCTTCAGCGGAAGACAATGACACCATATGTTGCTTCTTGGATTTCCAACCTATAAGACTGTCACCTAGAAAAATGCAAAAGCCAGTAACAGATTTGCGAGTATCACGGCATGCAGCCCAATCACTGTCTGAGTAGGCTTTCACAGAGAAATAAGAAGAGTTAGAGTAAAAAAGCCCAATATCAGTAGTGCCCTTGAGATACCTGAGAAGATGAAGAGATGCCAGCATGTGAGGAACTCTGGGAGTGTGTTAGAATTGACTTAAATGTTGAACACCAAAGCAAATATCTAGGCGAGAGTGAGCGAGAAATAATAGCTTCCCAACAAGACTTCTATACCTCTCAGGATTGGGTAAAAGAGTGCAAACATTAGCTTTGAGTTCTTGGTTCAACTCCAAGGGGCTGACAACAGATCATGGCAAACTTCTTTTGAGTTAAAAGAAGACCGGAAGGCAGAACAGAAACTTCAATGCCCAAAAAATAATACAAAAAACCTAAATCTTTGATTTTGAACTCATTGTCTA